TCATTCATGTCCCATTAATATATATTACTAACTTCACTTCTTCCCCAGAGTTCTTGTGCTTTCTCGTCTCGCAGGTTCTCATTGATCCTGGTGGAGCCTCCTGCCATGGTCCTGCTTGACTGCCATTGCTAATATCACTGATATTAGTGTTATTATTATTATTAGTATTATTATTGCTATGGTTACTGTTGTTGCTGTTGTCACTACTCATTGTCCCCCATCGTTGCTGTTGTTGTCGTCGTTGTCTTCATCATGTTCATCATCTTCAGTCACTACTATTAGTGTAGTTGTTGCTGTGCACCTGTCTGTCTGTCTGTCTGTCTGTCTCTCTCTCTCTCTCTCACCCCAACTGGTCGAGACAGAGGATCTGTCCTAGGTTTCTGCCTTTTAACAGGCAGTTTTTCCTTGCCCTTGTCGCCAAGGTCTTGCTCATGGTGGTACTGTTGGGTCTCTGTAAATAATGTTATAAGGAGTTCGGTCTAGACCTGCTCTATTTGAAAAGTGTCCTGAGATAACTTCTGTTATGAATTGGCACTATACAAATAAAATTGAATTGAATTGAATTGAATTGAATTGAATTGAAATGATGTTTAGAAATGATTTACAATTTTGTGGTGAATGTGTAACTAAAATGTGTCCACAAATTAAATTGACTCTGAGGTTTGGGCGCCCTGGTAGCTCACCTGGTAGAGCTGGCACCGCATTTACCAAGGCTGAGTCCTTGCTGCAGCGGCCATGGGTTCAACTTTGACCTGTAGCCCTTTGCTGTGTGTCATCCTCTCTCTCTCTACCCCCTTTCCTGTTGCACAAATAAGTTTAGCAAACTTCTGAGGACAGACTCAAATAAGACCTATCTACACTGGGCACTAACATTTGTCTTGGGTGATCCAGTCACAAGAGAATTATATATCTGTGAAAACACTGTCTGCACAAACTGATTTCACTATTAAACTAGTAACCACATTATCCCCAGACTCCCTTCAAAAAATTTGGAATTTTGAGAATGGTTCAGTGATAGAAACTTAATAAACATCTACAGAAAATTCAAAATAATTCTTGCCTTCACTTTAAAAGATTTTTTTTCATTCATTTTTAACAAATTTTACAGGGTTTTTTCCAGTTTATTTTATAGATTTTTTATTACTAAAATTAAATAAATAGCCTCTGAATTTATGTCTAATGTGAAATACTGTAATATTTAACTGTAAATAATCATAAAATTACTGCTTTTTTTAACCTAAACTACATTTAAAAAATATTAATATAATATTTTAAATATTTTTGCAGATATTTACAGTTTAAAAGATTAATCTGTGAAATTAAAGTTTAACACTGTTAATACATTTCTAAAATTAAGTAAAATTAGTGATAATCGTTTTTAAAAAATGCAGAAATGTACTTATTAAGGGTTTTACTTTTAATAATAATAAAAAACAATTACAACCCTATGGTTGCAGTCACAGCCTACAAACATAAAACAATGGCAACAAAAGGTAAATGTTATGTAGATGTTTGTTATGGAAAAGGTCATAGCAAAAATACAGTTAAAAATGGACAGGTTTATTGATATATGGGCACCATGGATAAGAGCCATGTGAAAAAAAGTGGCTAAAACATAAATTGTCTGTGTTTATTTATTTATATATTTTTATTTATTTATTTTGTCGTTTGTTTTTCTGTTGTCTGTTGTTGATTCTTGTTTTTTATTCACTTCTACTCTATGAAATTCACATATAACGCCATAAAAGAAAATGTAGAGATGTTTACTTTTAAATTGAAGGAATGTATGAACTGAATGGCACAAATAAAACGTTTTTAAAAAATGCAATATATTACATTCTGTTAAAAAAAAACACTGTCGGTTTAGTATTGCTGTACTGGCCTGTTGGCAGCTCTGTGTCTGCTGGTGACATGTGGAGTGCAGTGGTTCAAAGTGATCGCCTGTCAACTAATTTTTATTACATTTTTTTATTAACCAGATAAGTCATTTACAACTGGCCAGGAGGCAGCAACAGAAATGAAGATCTAGTGAAAGTTTAGTCAGAATGATTATTCTATTGTGTTTAGTCCTGTAGATTATTGTTCTTTCCATTCTGCCATTCACTCCTCTCACGCATGCTGTCTCATCATCAGTCATTATCAGAGGCTGTCAAATGATATCAGCTGTTCTCATCAGCTGGACTCATCTATACATAGCACATTGACACACTTACATTGGCTGTGGCTCAGAGGTAGAGCGGGTCGTCCACTAATCGGAAGGTTGGTGGTTCGATCCCCGGCTCCTCTCGCTCTCCACGCCCCAAATTGCTATAAATGATTGTGAGTTTCCATTCTGGTGAGCATGGCAGCCACTGCCATCAGTGTGTGAATGGGGTGAGGGTGGCATGTAGTGAGTGCTCTAAAGACTAGAAAGGCCCTATATAAGTACAGTTTTGAAATACAATTCTCTCTCTGCCTTCAGTTCATCCATGCGCTCTGAAGGTTGTACAGGCCACAATGTTGTAAATATAATAAAATATTTTCCTCAGCAGTTTATCAAAGGTCAATACAGTAAAAAGTAACCGATATATGCTACTTCTTTGTCACCCATGGAGAAAGTCTCCAGACTCCATTAAAAAATGGCGCATTTTTCAGAGTTTTTGAGTGAGCAGAAACTTTGTTTTTAACTTTGTGAAATGCTGTCTACGACAAATTCTTATTCATTTGGGCCTTTTGTACACATATTGTGTCCATTTGTCCCAGCGTGTTAGCTATTGCTACTGTTGGGCCGCCGGTTAAAAAAAACAGTGACTACTGAAAGTTATTTATTTGCATAGAAAGGGGATAACTGATATCCGGTCACTCAAGACACATGCAGAGATATTTTCTAATGCAAGGTGAACTGATGTGCTTAGAACTGTCCACTTGTGATCGGATCACCCAAGACAGATGTTAACACCAGCTATAAACAGCTTCTATGTGTAAAATGTGGCGCTCAAAATTCCAAAAATGTGTGTGACACTGGGAGGTAAAATGATTAGATAGGCAAGATAAAGGCACGCAAAGAGCTTCAACTGTTATTCACTGAAATGCATGTGCTTAAGCTGTTAGCCATTGATCTTGTAGCCTCCTTGAACCTTTTGGTTCTGTGACAATTTTACACTTTCAGATCCTGATTGTTTTACCCAAAACATTTTAGTCATCAGATGCTGCATCTTAAGTTATAGGTCATTTTGAGTTGACTGTCAGCTGAATGTAGCTTACTGGACTGCCTCGACTGCATATAGCTAAGCTAGGCTTGTTTTAGCCCTGTGGCTTGGCTAACCGGTTGCTTTTACATCTCTCTGTCCCTGGATGCTTACCTACTTGCTGGCGTAATTCCTGAAGAAACTGTACGGTGACCTCCCTGTTTATTTATCTACAAGATCAAGGGTGAGTTAGCCTCAATAATCAATCTCAGCCCTTCTCCAGCAGCAGATTGACCTTGGTCCACCAGCAAAGGTCACACACCCTGATACAGTCAATTTGTCTCCGGTCTGTCCCACCTGAGTGGTTAAGGACAAGAATAGACGCTCCCTTGCCCTCTATTATTCCCAGGATGATTCCACTGTTTTTGAGCCGTCTAACTTCTTTGCTCCTTGGGCTGCTCTACCAACGTCACCTATCAAGCTTTCTTAAAATGAAAGAATGCAGAATGAAATGCAGGTCAGATATATTAAGTATATAAATAACCCTTAGAATCGACTCAAAATGAATCAAAATCAGCCACTTTTAAATTTTGAAAATGTCAGAAATGGATTTAGCATCCTCAATAACCCCCAAAAGTTAGCATCGGTCTGTGTCTATATGCTGGGAGCCCATACTGTACATTGCTGACGTAAAACTTTGGGTTACTCATTGACAACATTCGGGGAGCACGTTGCTGGCAAGTAGACTATGGGTGGAGGTTGTGCTGAAGGAAATCGCAAACTCCCATGTATTAGCAGCAACTCCAACTCCAGAGCTGTATCTCCATCTGACAAGCATCAGCAGCAATCGAGCTCCTGCAGCAACACCCAGAGCTCCAGTCACTCTGGCTGGTCTCCACTCTCCGCCCTCTGGCCAGAGGACTGCACCTTGACATGTAGATGATGGACGATGCATCAAAAAATTAAGCTAAAATATATAGATACGGCTGCTGCCATCTTTTGCCACTTGAAACCTGCAGAGTAGTGAACGGAGTTGGCGCTGCAGTATCGAAGTCCCGCCGACAATTGTGTGCAGGGCTCAGCTGTCCATTATGATGTGAAACCCCCTTTTTATAGCTTCAAATAACTGGTTAAAACTAAACTTATCAGAAAAAATTAAGACTTGAACACACCAGAAACCATCTTTGGGAAAAAATGTATTTGACATGTACTTCGATTTCTTAGTTTGCTAACATGGAGGCAGTGGGTTTTATGACCTGTACTGCAGTGAGCCACCAGGGAGCAATCAAGATGTTTTGGCTTCACTTATGGAGAGGGTGTGTGCGCCAGCTTCCACCAATACAAGCCATCTACAACAGCTGTATGGTAGCACAGCAATCTGGAAATATTGATATTGATAGTCTGCGATTCAGTTGTTAGGCATGAACTAATGCTCTCATGGTGCATTCCCACCAAAGGCGAGTAAAATTATTTGCGCAAGTAGATTACATACAAAGTCAATACAAAGACGCAAATAGACAAAAAAAAATATGCGCATATCGTGAAGTTACATGCGTGAGTAACGCGTCTTTGGTGGGAATGCACCATTAGAAAAATACTTGCTAAACCCCACTATTCAGAGAAATGTAAAAAATGAACCTAATATTTTAAATGTAACATTTCCAATCTTATGAATAAGGAATGATGGAATATAAGGTAGTATATAGTATATATATGTATAGTGTAATGGATGTAACATTTTTTATTAAAATGTCTTCTTCCAGCAATATCATATTAATTGAATTTTGTCATTCAACAAAAGATGATGAGAATTCAAGAGAATGCATTTTTTATTTGAAGTACCAACACTTTTGATAAGTTCAAAATCTCTTGAGAATGTCCAGATGATCTCGATGGAAAAAAATAAATAGCAAAGCGACACTAATACACACATTAAAACAACACAAATACTATGATAAATAGCAGGCTCAAATAATCAAATAATTCGGATGTTTGGTTTTTGTATGTTACGATGGGATCATATCGTCTTTTTAAATAGAAATTTTAGATTTATTGTATACCAGCACGTTGGTGGGAAATAAATAAATTGCTGTCCATCCCAACATGCAAAACTGGATGTTTCTGAAGAACAGTAATTATATATAGAACATTATATACATTCAGCGACAGGAATCAATCAGTTCACTCACAAACCGGCCATTTTTACACCAGAAAAGTTTGGTATTTGGCTGAGATTACATCACCCAACTATATTTGCTTAATTGTCCCATTGGAAAACATCTTACAACAGTATTATGCACCTATTAAACTGTGAGAAACATGTAGTCTAATGTTTCTGTGACACTGTTTGATTTGGACTAAATGTTCAACAAATCTCTGGCTTGAAATGTAGTCCAACTTTTTATACCACAAACACAGTAAACACTTGCATTATGATGCCTGTACAAATGTTGACAGCTATCCCAGTTGTAAATCAGAAAGCACTGCTTCAACCCCCTAAAGCATTTGGAGGCATATTTCAAGTTTTCCCTTTCCTTTGGCTGGTGGAGGTCAGTCAGGTATATTTGGTGGATTCTGTCCCGCAGTCACATTGCAGGAAAACCCTATGGCCTACGTGTCTGCACTGCACTGTGCTCACTGTTCGTGGCCAGGGTGGTGGTGGTGGTGGGTGGAGTTGTACCAAAATGTAAAGGCGTGGTCTCAGGAGGCAAAGTAGGAGCTCTGCATGGAGTACAGGCGGTCGATGGGGTTCCCTGCCCGAGACTGCAAGGAGCCTACATCTGGAGCAGCCATGAAGCAGTCGCTTAGACTCGTCAGAGAGGTGTCACTATCAATGTCATGGAAGATGGAGTCTGTACCTGAGAAGAGCAGAGAAGACACAGTGAAGTCAAACACAACTAAAATATGAAAGTTTCATGTCACGACAATCCATGCCAATATAATTGCAATTCCTGATAGTATCTTGATAATCATCAAAAACATACTGAAATAAATTTTCATTACATCTTGATAACAAACATATATTTTTATTGCATCACAGATAGAAACTCATCTCCTTGTCGTTCCTTAGCTTGGAATCTATACCATTTCCACACATCCGGTTGGAGATTTTGTGAGGGGGACACAACGGGCAGGCCGAGCCTTCAGCCATGATGATGGGCTTTCGGTAAGATGCAGGCTCCAAATTGTGACAATTCAAAAAATAACAGAAAACCAAGGCTGTATGCTACATAGCTAGACAGCTCACACATGAGCATATTCCAGATTATTGCAATATGCGATAATATCGTATATCGTCCCATCCCTACTTGAAGCTGCATTATTAGAATTTTTTGGCAACTGGGGGAGCAGAAGAACTGCACAACAAGCTGACGGACACACAGCCCTAACGTGGTGACAGTGGACTGAGACTGAACCATATGATAAATGTCATAAAACTAAAAACATGAGGTAAGTCTTAAAAAGCTCCGTAGAACTTTGGAAGCTGCAGAGTTGGTGACAATTCTCTATGGGATTGTTGCTTTTTGTCCTTTTTTGCCAAAATTCCTCCAGGCACAGGTTTAGGACATCTACAACGGGGTTTGGCTCCATCATATGCGACTCTTCAAATCCTACTGAGAGCATTTCAGAAGCAGAGCGTCATTTTTCTAATATATTATTTATGAAATTAATTTAAATGATTGTGTTCAGTTTGACTGAATTTGACTCTAAACTAGGTCCGCTGCAACCCCATGCCACCCCTCTAGGGTGGCTGTGGCTCAGGAAGTAGATAGGTTCATACACTAATCAGATGGTTGGTGGTGTGATGGCCTTTGTCATCTGTACAGCGCTTTTAGTGGTCTGAAGACTAGAAAGGCTCTATATAAGTACAGTCCCTTTACCTTTTAGATCAGCCCCTGAGCATTACAATGAAACTGACTTTAACTGAAATTTTGGGGATGATGTTCTTTTTCCAGAAATGTTTGTTTAGGTAAATGGATTAAACTGAAACATGTCTTAACACTGGTGTTGTTATGCCACATTAATAATATCAAAAGCCAACAAAACTTTTAAAAACCACTGCATTATAGAGATAGTAGCTCTAGCAGCAACAAAAAACCTATAAAAATACAATTCAATTTAAAAACTTGAATTAAACAATGTTAACAATACAATAACTGTTATATGACAATAACACATTAGTTAATGAAAACCATTTGGAACACTTTTCTGCTTAGATAGATATTAAATGTGTGGTTATACAGGCACACTGTTCTCCTTCAGTCTAAATATTTCATTGTAGGGATGTGTAATACTGCTCTCCAGGGTGTCACTCCGTTCTATTGGACTCACTGGGTCTGACAAATTGATGGGTCATCTGTTTGTAATCAGCCAGCATGCCTTATTGGTTAATTCCCATCACTGCCAATAAAATGGGACTGAGGTTAACACTGATGCCATCATGATAAGGATGGGAACACAGGGGAAGTGTCATTACATCAAAGACACTTATGTTGGTTTGTTTGTCTGTATGTTATCGCTATCTGGTCCTATTACAAAGATACACAAGGCTAAATGTATTACAGCAGCCAATACATGGAAGAGGTACTTCATGGTTTAGTTTTGCACTAGCAAAAAGTTCAAAAGAAACACATTTAAAAAAGAATCAAAGCAACTGACATTGGATCCTACATTTCCCATAATGCAACAAGATAGTATCTTCAGTCAACAAGTTTCACATCTCATAGTGAGATTAATGGGACTGGTGGCTGCCTGGTAATAAGTAAAATCATGTAAAACACTGCAATACTCTTCTACACATCCCAGCATGCACTAGGTGACAGGTAAGGAAACACCTTGGACAGGTCTTTAGCTGGAGACCAATATGGACAGGAGTCCATATTAATATGGGAGGAAACAAAGAGAATACAAGGGAGGCCAGTCATCATGGAGTATGAGGCTCACCGTAGGGGTTCATGTGGTCACCGGGCATCTGTGGTGGGGTGAGGCCCTGCTGGAAGGGGTCAGTGTTGTAGCCGTTGTGCTCCATGGTCACCAGATGCTGCTGCTGGTTTGAAGGTAGAGGCCCTGAGTAGGAGCTAAGCAGGCCCTCCATACAGCCTGATATCACCTCTGCAACAGTCAGTGAGAACAGGGTTACAACTCTCAGCGATAGCAGTACACACTGTCTTCCTATAATTATGAGGGCCTCTCACCACCACCCACCTTCACTGACTGTGTAAACCGTTTTCATTCTAACCTCTTGTCCAACAGTGTTGGGCAGTAATACAGTACGTTACAGTAACATGATTACTTTTTCACTTAGTAATGTGTAATGATTAGGGAGTAAAAGAGTAATAGTAATTCTGAGCTTTTTGTCTCCTCAACTGATTCACTGATTAGTTTTCAAGAAACTGCCAAAACACTGTTGGCCAATTTGTTACTCTAAATCCACAGGACTGCTGCTCCAGTGTCACTGACATGACTAGGGTTTTTGCGAGATCTGAGTGTCGTCTAGAGGGTGGTGGTAATGCACCTGAGGCTGTTTGGAAACTGCCAACAGTGTAGCTTAGCTACAACAATAACAGATAAGCTAGCCAACATCCATCAGTTATTGCAAAATAGTTGTGATATACTGATTGTAACGATAATGGATTGTGTGTACTATGCTGATACAATTTGATCACTTTATCACTTTAAACAATCGCTCACTATATTTAGTTGTACGCGGCTAACTGCACAGTGTGTATTGTTGTATATTATATATACCTACGTTAACTGTCATTTTTGTGGCATTGTTGCATTTAGTTACTGTGGTACTTTATTTTATGTTAGTTTTATCCTGTTGTGCTTTGCACTTTGTTGCATTTAGTTACTTGTTTTATTTTTATGCTAGCTTGATTCTTACTCTTGTATTACTTCTCCACTTTTGTATCGGAATTGTTGCACAGCAGTTTAGTGTGTAAATAATCCTGCAACTCTTAAAACATTTCCATTTCATTCTGTTCCTGCTTTGTGGTACACACTTCAACATAGTAGGTGGCATAATGCACCTTAATGTTAAAGTTGAGTGCAATTTATTTGCTAAAAAATCCCTAACCCTAACCCAGTTGTTGGTTCAACCTAACCTAACCTTAAGCTTATTGAACATGTTTTTTCACGTTAACTTAACTCAATTGGTTTTACAACTCAAATAAGACTTTAAACTAATTCATCAACAACACTAACCCTAAGTTCCACATTTGTAAGGCAGCAAATGTACTTTAAGATGAACCAGTTCAAAATTATTTACAGTATACAGTGCAGAAGAAAGAAGTTTTACTCCTGGAGAAGAAGCCATTTTCCCCTGTGCTCCAGTACGAATATATGTAAAAAAGCAATAAAAATAGGATTATCTTGCTCTGGAGCACTGAGCATCAAACCTCCCCATAGATGTGAATACATCCATGTTTTTTCTACAAACTATTTCTACTATATTGTTTCTTATAAAAAGCATATCGTAAATGCATTGTCTAAACCGACTGTTTGATCCTGAAGCTATCTCACCAGTCATCCAGGAGGCTTCATCTCATCCTAACATCATCTTCAAACAACCCCCATTTGCTGGTTTGCTTAGCTCATTTGGTTAACAGCAGCAGCTTCCACTATAATAAACCCTGCTGCTATGCCAATATTGACATGCTGGAAGTCCCTGAACAGATAGAGGCAGTGCTTGCCAAAGCACTGAGACACTTATCTAAACTGTCTGCTCATATCCGCTGTGAGACCACAGTGGCAATAAGCCTGCTAGCTATGAGGAGCTGTGCTGCAGCGAGAATCATGGCTGCGGCCCACACTTTATAGCCCCGCCGTCGGAAAACTCACATTTACCAGCAGAGATGTCACTATGGCTTCAGAGTGTGGGACTCATTCTAAAGCTGACAAAACTGGGAGTGTTTGCTGAGTGACTTCACTCTGTTTATTGTTCCCATAATAAATGTAATATTTCAAGCTGCTTCTCCAAATAATTCATTAATTACCTAGCTCTCAGTAATCACTGTTATTACAATTATAATGGACAGATTACGTCTTGCAGATCGACTGTGCTTTTCTTTTTGTAAGATCAGAGAAAGCAGCTAACCAGCTAACCAGCACAGTCTACACACACACACACACACACACACACACACACACACACACACACACACACACACAGATGATAAATCCTCACCTTGGCCTAGCCTTTGGCTGTTGTGTTGCTCCTGCTGTTGCTGTTGTCTGCGGGCTAACTTCTTCATCTGTGTGTAAATAAACAGTAAAAATCTTAGAATGTGGCTGACAGGCGTTCATTCAAGAGAGACTGACAAATAATAAATGGGTGTGAAGGAGCATATATGTCAACCTCCTCAAAATTATATATTCAAAATATTAAATTATTAACAAAAGTCGGACTTTCATCTTACCCCAATAGGGAGGTAACGATACACTAAACTCACAATACAATTCACGATACTGGGTTCACAATATGTTTTTCGTACGATTTTTTTTAAACAAAATTAGATTGAAGACAAATTATGACCGAAAAAGATCCCTTTATTTCTCATATTTACTGTATCAAATTAACAACAAAATGTTAATAAAATAATAACTTTTTTATTTCTGAGGTAGGGTATTAACTGTGCAAAACAATGCATATTTTAGGTTTCATAAAATCACATACCTGGTTTGCATCGTGTGACTTGTTGCCGCAGTAATGGCAACGTAACTTAAAAATCATTCTGTTTTCCTCAATCTAACCTAATTAGCTTTGTTGTCTAAACTTAACGAAACTGCCTTTGTTAAACAATGTTGAAGCTGCAGAAGGTAACTTTTATGAAATTAACTTCTTGTAGTACATGAGACAGATAATCTGTGAAAAAAATCTGGTTTCTCTGGCTCCACCAGGCCTGAGCAAAAACAACCAATCAGAGCCAAGAAAGATAGTTAATTGTTTCATTCCCATATTGTCAAATACTAACTCTGGGAATGAGACTCAACAATCAAATTTCTTGAAGCCACCAACCCACCTGTGTCTATCTAACTTTCTGGGCTCTGATTGGTTGTTTTTGTTGAGGCCCAGTGGATACTTGCAAATTCTCATTAAAAGCACTAAAAGGAACCAGAGGAACACAATTTTTCAATAGATTATCTGTCTCATGTACTACTGTCAGGATATAGTGAAAGCAAAAATGAAAAAAGTTACTTTTCTAAAAGTTACCTACTGCAGCTTTACCCACATTATAAAAAAGGGTATCTTGTTCTTGTCTATGAGATGGGTGAAACAAAGGGTGCCAATATTTGCCAACCTTTGTATTGGGAAATCAAAAGATGCATCTAAGATCATAACAAATGTGGTGTAGATTCAAGCCATATCACTTAGACTGAACAAGGTGCAAATAAATGTGGCTGACTTAAAAAGGAGAAAAACAGATAAGACAAAGATTTCATAATACAAATGTATAGTCTAATTTTAATTTTGGCTCATTGATGTATTCAGTGTTGTGCTGCTGACACTGTGTACTGAGCTATTTTCCCCTAGCTAAACCAAAAATAAATCCCACTGACTTTGGTTGTCCTGGTTTTTTTTTGAAGATGAATAAAATAAAAATAAATATATATATAATAATAATAATAATAATAAAAAATAACCCCTTATCAAACATTTCATTTGATTGATTGTGATATAATGTAATATAGATGTGACTTGAGTAAACAAGCAGTGTAACGCTTATAGATTGATAACTGACTGTAGTAAACGGCATATTGGATATTCAGACTTTGACAAGCTTATTCTCCCAAATGCCACCAAGCCGAGCAAATAGTAGATTATAAATTCTTGATCCTTGGAAGCTTAACTGATGAAGAACTGGTTTAGACAATCAAGCACTTTTGCCAAAAAAGACAGGAAGACCCCATTTTCACATGTGATCTGGATCTGGATCATGTTACAAATTCTGTCTGTGATTGCATCTGGCACTTGGTAGGTCAAGGTGGTGGACTTGACAACAAATGGTGCTTCTCAGTTCAAGGGAAGGGATGTGTGAGGCTATTGGGTCAAAGACAGAGACAGCTGACGGCAGTGGCGGAGTCAGGCTGTTTGAGGGTATGGGTGGAAAAAAAAAATGAAGGGCATTCTAGAGGGTACTTTATTGAGTTTTGTCCACTGGAGGGGCACTTTACCCTGCTGCTCATGGTCATTCTTTTTCCTTTGCAGAGGAAGGGCTCATCTGTTACTTTTGATGGACAACTTAAGATAGCAGGAAGAGTTAGTGCCCTTTTGAATGTTTTTAAGAATGTGGCAGATCTATACAGATTGCATTTACACCTGGCTAAGATCACTTCCGCTGCACCAGAATGTGTAAGCCACTGTTTAGCTGAAAGCTGACAGCTGATAGTCACCCTTCCCTCCATTAATTTGCAGGCCTGTGTTAAGTGATGCCAATATAGATCTGTTTTTGGATCAAAACCATAGAATGGCTGAAATTATGACAGCAAGACTGTAAGACAGCTGAAATCTCCACTAATGAGTGAAAAGCCGAGGCACACTAAGACTGGAAGCCACCGTGAGAGTCATTTCCTTTTCTGTATTATCCTCTGACTGTCCAGCCACATATTCCAAAAGAGATAAGAAAGGGGATAAACATGTTATTTTATTATTTATTTTATTATAACTGAGTTACCTTCAGTTATTATCGTGCACTCAGAGCAATGAGCTTAACCATTGGCAGCGTTGTGAACACAGCATTATCCAACCCGGTCTCACTCCCAAGACATCAAATACTGCCACTCAGGGGCCCTCCACTTCAAAATATGATGCTGTTGGTGCCCCTGTAGCATCATTTGTATACAAGCAGGCTGTCGAAGTTGGGCGATGTAGTATAATGACCAAGAAAGTCAGCATATGGAGGTGGTGGGGTAGATGGATGGCTCAAACAAACATAGGAACACAAACCACTGTTCATATCCATGTGAAACTAAATTAAACCAATTTCCTTACATATGTGACATACTTATTTTAAGTTCTGTCAGGTATGTAATGTAACTTACCATCTTTTCCTAGACTGTCATATATAGAGATATTCTGTATACCCCCTTTTTTTTGTTGATACTTTAGCATATTGGGTGATACCGAGTACTGATCCAATGTGTGTAAACATGCAACTAAGATGGAATGATTGCTATCATTATTATGATGGCTCAAATTAAACCATTTGCCAGAGTCAGAGTCAGAGTAAGACATTGCTATCTGGAAAAAGAACGTGTTGACAGCTTGTTTTTTTGGTGTATTGCTTTACTGACCTTTGCTCTCTGGTTCTGGAACCAGACCTGGACCACACGTACACTGAGTCCTGTCTCTGCAGCCAGGGTCTCTCGCACCTGCAAGTCACAGCGCAGTCACACTCATAGGCCATTTTAACAAACTAACACTATAATGCCTGTCTGATATCACAAATTTCAGATTGCTATTCTAGTCTGAGAGAATGCATGAAATAAACAACTTGCATTTGCTTCTATCATTGGGATGTGCTTGTTGGTCAGCGTAGTCGGATATAGAGTGCTGTAAGAATGAGCCCTAAAACCAATGCGTTTTATGAATGGGTTTTTGGTTTGATGAAATTTGCCTAAAATGACTAAAACTTTACAACATGTACATTTTAATTACAAGATTTGATTAAAAGTAGGAAGTTTAGGTGGTGTAGTCGACCATGGTGTAGTTTATTTATAGCTTAAAATGAGCTTTTTACTTCTAACGATTGCATTTATGCTTCAAAAATCATAAAAGTGCTGTTCATTTCTCAACAAAAAGTGTAAAAATCATAAACCTTTTTCACAACGGAGCTTACTTTCTGCAATAGTCCATAATCTAATGGAAAAATCCCATTGGCTTTTTGTTGAAGGAACCACGACGATGCTAACTTCAGGGCTCCCCTACAAAAATATGTCCTCCATGCAGCACTCTATTCATAGAGATTTCATAGAGGTACAGAAGTAATTAGAAACAAGAGTGTCATAGTTCCACTCTGGCCACAAAGCAAAGTTACAGTTGTGAGTACATCATTTCAGTAAAATATCTCGTTATACTCAACCCTCTCTGCTCACCTTTCTGCAGGGTTTGGAGGAGACCTCAAAGGAGGCCTTGAAGGCTCTCCTCTGCTGGGTGGTGAGGATGGTGCGTGGCCGTTTGGGCCGGCGAGGGTCTTTGCTGTCGCCGCCTTTTCCTGCCACAGGGCACTTCGCTGACTTCACATCCAGATCCTCATCCTCACTCTTATCTGTCACCAGACAAATATTTTATTATTTCATCTTATTTTACTTCAGATTTGACTTTACTGCAGTTTTGTGTCTAACTCCATCTTAATTCTCCTTTTAAAGGAAAAGTCAAATTCAACTGGATTGAGGTTAATGAGAACTAATATTTGACTTAGGCTGTATTAAAAACTGCCTTTACAAGTACAGGTCCATTTACCATTTACCATTAGCCAAGATGTAACTATCTACACCGATCAGCCATAACATTGTGAGCACTGACAGGTGAAGTGAATAACACTGATTATCTGGTTATCATGGCTCCTGTCAGTGGGTGGGATAAATCAGGCAGCAAGTAAACATTTTGTCCTCAATGTTGATGTGTGAGGATTTGAGCGACTTTGACAAGGGCCACATTGTGATAGCTAGACGACTGGGTCAGAGCATCCCTAAAACTGTAGCTCTTGTGGGGTGTTCCTGGTCTGCAGTGGTACCTATCAAAAGAGGTCCAAGGAAGGAAAAGAACCAGAGACAGGGTCATGTGCGGCCAAGGCTCATTGATGTACGTTGGGAGTGAAGGCTGGCCCATGTGGTCCGATCCAACAGACGAGCTACTGTAGCTCAAACTGCTGAAACAGTTAATGCTGGTTCTGATAGAAAGGTGTCAGAAGACACAGTGCAACACAGTTTGTTGGTATGGGGCTGCAGAACACCAGGGTGCCCAGGTGGTCAGAATATTAGGGCTGATGGGTGTATATGTTACTGTTATCTTTTAAATATCTTTAAAGTGTGGTTGTCTTTCAACAATTATGGGCCTAGCACAAAGAAAGTTGACCAAGGGCTGGGATTTAGGAAGGGTCAGTTGTAACTGGGCTACACATGTCAGATAAATCATTATCCATATGTAAATGGTAAATTAACTGGTACTTGTATAGCGCCTTTCTAGTCTTCCAACCACTCAAAGCACTTTTACACTACATGCCACATTCACTCTTTCACACATATTCACTCAGAGGGCAAAGAAATAGAACAACAACTAACACATTCATTCATTACATGCCACACTCACCCCGTTCGCACACATTCCTACACTGATAGCAGTGGCTGCCATGCAAAGTGCCAACTTGACCAGAACAGAAACTAAGCATTCACACACATACACTGATGAACGGCATTGGGAGCAATTTGGGGTTCAGTATCTTGCTCAAGGACACTTCGACATGTGGCAGGAGGAGCAGGGGATCGAACCAACAACCTTCCGATTAGTGGACGACTCGCTCTTCCTCTAAGCCACAGCCGCCCTATATGTGATATTCATGCTGCATGAAACTATGAAAAACACTATTCACACTTCGTCTGTATTATGTAGTAGGGGGTTCCAAATACAGTGTTAGTCCTGGTGGCCTCACAGAAATAGCCAATATTTTCACTGATGGTCTTGTTTGTTTATGTAGGTCATATAAATGCACCAGTAATAAAATGAGACTGTTTTATAACCAGTTAAAAACTCACATTACGTACACATTACATTACGTTTAAGTAATTTATTGGATGTGTGTTTAAATTCACTGTTTGCAACAGTCTGCTATAGAATACCCAGTCTTACCTGAGTCGGAGTTGTCTAGACTGACTATGCTGAGCAGGTCCTTCTCCCTCTCATAGTCACTCTTGCACAGCAGCTGACCCTCTTTCAGAACAAACTCGTCTCCTTTGCACAGCTGACGTTCACAGACGCAGCAGCAGAAGCAGCTAAGGTGGTAAACGCTCTCCAGAGCTCGCATTACAAACTCTGTGGGTGCTATCTTCTCCAGACAGCCACTGCACTTGGTGGCAAACAGCCTGCGGACACACAGGAGAGAGAGGATGTTAAAAATACAGAATGTACAAGGGGAAAGTATTCAATAACCACATATCAATAAATTGAAAATGGTAATTTAAATGAATTTATTTGATATAGTACACAATAGGAAAGTTGAAGAAATCTGAAAGGAGTCATTGGTCATCTGGATGTATCAGATGTGGAGCAGGACTTATGATGGGAGCAGACTAGACCCATGGGCGCTGGATGTGACGGAAAAGAAGGAGGGTTGCGTCCTGTATACACGCCAAGTAGCCCACATAAAGGTAAAAAATATATTTATATAAATTCACAAGCACAAGTAAAAGTTTACTAAATGCAGGTAAAAACAAAAATAAGCTAATTTCAGCTGAGCTCATTTTTTGAGATAACAGTGGATTGGAAAAGACAAGAGAAAAAGGGTTGGTGAGACGAATGAATTAGGAGTCCTGGGAAGGAGAGGGTTTACTGAATACACTGTACAGTGTTGCATTACTGTATATGCTGGAACTTCATCTCTACACAGCAAAACCAGAAACCAGAAAGAAGCCAGATGTGTCTGAGCTAAATGAATGAGCTATTACTTAGCTTTTATATTTAACCCTTTCAAGCTCTCTGTGTATGTGGTAGGGTTTTTGATGTTGTAATGGGCCCACAGGAGGCCTGCTCAAAGGGCTGATTCATGGAAAGAATAGGGACAATTTTCCAACCGCTCCCCAAAACCACCTAATGAGGCAATATGTGATTGTGGCTGCTATTAGATGAGGGAATATTACTGAATATTACTGAGTCTGGTCCACTTTGACAAATTCAAGATGCCTGATTTATTTTATGTATCTGATTTATTTCCTGGCTGCATGGTGGTGCAGTGATTAGCACTGTGACCCCAAAGCAAGAAGGCTCCTGGTGCTCCAGCTTACAGGTTAATTGGTGGCTCCAAATTGCCTGTAGGTGTGAATGTGAGTGTGAATGTTTTTTTTTTGTTTCTGTGTCAGCCCTGTGATTGACTGGCGACCTGTATGTTAACAGCTCCAGCGCCCCCATGACCGTAAGGATAAGTAGGTTCATCTTTTTCTTTCTTTTTTGTTAAATTAAAGATGCCATCATCTAGTCAATTCCAAAAAACTGCTACATTAAAGCTGCAGTAGATAACCTTTCTAAAAATAACTTTTTTTGCCATATTTGCTGAAACGTTCACTATATCCTGATAGTAGTACATGAGACAGATAATCTGGTTCCTCTGGCTCCTCCTAGTGCTCCTAATGGCATTTGAAAGAATCCACCGGGTATGATGACCTCAAGCTGAAGAGCAACCAAGCTGAAGAGTGGAGCCAAGACTGGGACTCAAGACGAAGCCAGAATTGCAGCCAGCACAGATCTCTATAGACACATTCTCCCTGCTGACAGTGCACAGTGAGAGTGAGAAAACCTCCCAGAGAAAGAGTGGGAAGAAAGAGAGAGATCACAAAAGCCAAGGAGAGAGAAAAGATAGACAGGGAACAAAAAACTAAAGAGAGTGAGTTGTGTGAAGGGTCTTTTTTGGAAATGTTGAAACGGTGTGGGGACTGTTTGTGTGTGTGTGAGTGTGTGTGTAGAGGGGCTCTATAGTACTTTTCTGTACCTCATAAGCTTGTTGTGCTCTGTGAAACTGAATTGTGTATAATATGTGTAGATGGCAAATATGCCTTTATATGGGACTATATATTATATATTATATTTCAAACTGGGGTCCGCACTACCTAGTTTGACAGTTTGATCTGAGTTTTGTGCATTCTGTTTATCATCTGTTTTATTCTAAATGGGATCATAATTTACTAAATGAACATCATGCTGTATGGAAGAAGACTGAAACTAGAGATTGAGACCATAAACTAATCAGGAAATTGTTTACTGAGCTCATAAATCAAGTCAGAAGTTTCTTAGTTTCTCCATAAGACTCAATACTATCAGACCTCTTATTTGCCCCCTGATGGCCATTAGAAAGAATGCAGGTTTAGGACACTTCACTGTTATGTTCACTAATTATACACCTTCCCCTATACATACGTAAGGCCATAGCACCGTGAGTGTGAAGACATAGTAGCTATAGGACAGTCACAGGCTCACTGTGTACATTCAGCCTGCTACTTCATGGATTAACAGTGGCTACTGTTAAAATGGTAAATGGTAAATGGACCTGTACTTGTATAACGCCTTTCTAGTCTTCCGACCACTCAAAGCGCTTTTACACTACGTGCCACATTCACCCTTTCACACACATTCACTCAGTGTCCATCGAACAGAAACTAACATTCATACACACTCACACACCGATGCACGGCATCGGGAGCAATTTGGGGTTCAGTATCTTGCTCAAGGATACTTCAACATGTGGCACCAGGACTGGAGGGGGACTTTTGGACCTTTGTATCCATGGTTGTGATGTCATGGTTGTTGAATCTGGAAAAGGAGGGCAGCACAGAGGAATGGGAGGAGGAAGGAGGTATAGCTGTAAGGTTGGTGTTTGGACAGCTGCACTCCTCCTCCTCCTCCTCCTCGTCCTCCTCCTCTCTGAGTGTGACCATACCCTCCTCTATTCAACAGCTCTTTCTCCCTGCTGTCCACCTCCCTCCATCTCTCTCAGTTCCTCTTTTTCAACCTCTTGTCTCTCTTGCCTCTCTGTTCAGATGCTGACATTTACAGGCAGTGGAGAAAAGGGAAAGAGAGTACAGGACACAGGGACACGATAGGTATTAAAGCTGCAGTAGATAACTTTTATAAAAATAAAACTGAAACTTTCACTATATCCTGACAATAGTACACAAGACAAAAAATCTGGTTCCTCTGGCCCCTTCTTGTGCTACTAATGGCATTTTAAAGAATCCACCAACCAATCAACCCAACCCAATCAAAGATAGAAAGACACTTTGGGTTAATGGCTTGAAGATAGATGATTGTTTAGTCTCATTTCCAGGGTCCCAAATCATCTATATCTGACATACTGGGAATGAGACTCAACAATCAACTATCTTTCTTGGCTTTGTTTGGTTGGTTGGTTTGTGGTGGCTGTTTGTGGAAGATCCTCGGCTCCTCTCGCTGCATGTCGAAGTGTCCTTGAGCAAGATACTGAACCCCAAATTGCTCCCGCTGCTGTGCATCAGTGTATGTGTGTGAATGCTGTGCATCAGTGTATGTGTGTGAATGCTTAGTTACATTCTGGTCAAGTTGGCACTTTGCATGGCAACCACTGCTATCAGTGTAGGAATGTGTGCGAATATCACAGTTCTATATCACACTTGTAGAAGTGGCATACTGGACCAGGATTCTTCTGGAAAGAGACAATGCCGTTTAAGCACCACAAGTCATCACCACAAGTGCCATCTGGTTCCATTATATTGGAGAGAAGGCAGATATCTCTACAGCAGATATCTCCAAAACTCACACCAAAGCAATGTAGATGGATGACTAGCACTACAGGGAAGAGGAAAAATATGTATTTTTGTTTTGGGGGTAAACTGTGCCTTTAAAAACACCTGAAGAGAAATGAACTGAACTATTAGAGTTGTTTTTATATACTTAGTAAACTCAATTCTCAAGTTTTTCACAATTTTGAGTCAGACAGACTTATCTAGTGTAATCACTTCAACACTATATATCTGTGGTTTGTTAGATAATCCTGCAGTAACTCTTTGAGTTGGTTAGCTGCATAGTTTTTATAATGATGCAAATGGCTTTGGTGCAGGAGAGCTCTACAACACATGGCTGACACATGTGTCTACACAAAGCTCAAATGGTTATTATAATCTAGGAAAGAAAATTACAGCATAATATATCAAGCTGTTAAGTATTATATTTAAATCTAATTTCACAGCTCATGCGTCAGCTCCTTTCTCTATGCCGTGCATCGGTGTGTGAATGTGTATGAATGCATTAGTTTCTGTTCGATGGGCTTCACCATCACTGTGTGAATGTGTGTGAAAGGGTGAATGTGGCACGTAGTGTAAAAGCACTTTAAGTGGTCAGAAGACTAAAAAGGTGCCATACAAGTTTCACTAGACCTACATTTCTGAGCCTGTACTTTTTACTTTAACCGGAGTCTTTTATTTACAAGCAGTACAAGTAAAAGTATCTTAAAGTATAGTATTCTTCTTCAATAAAGAATGTGTGTACTGTTGCTACCTCAGGATTTAGGAAGGGTCAGTTGTGCGCATAAGATAGGGTATCTCATAATCCAAAAGACAGACTTTCATGAAATTTTCTGAGAACATGTATGCTCCCAAGATACACATTTTGATTTTAAAGGGCCCAATGACCTTTCCTCAGGACAAACTTTACATGTTTAGCTCTACAGCTGCAAAGGCTTTAAACACAGCAAATTAGCATTCTGCTGTTGATCCGGTCTAAGACATGTGGGGTCTACTGAACACTGCAGCTTCAAGTGAGGCTTTAGACTTTTAGTCTTGTTTATTTTAAAATCTTGTTTGGTGCAGCTTTCAATGTGAGTGAATGTTTGTTCCAACAGATGATTCATGAAAAAACCTCAGCGGTTCATTTCAACGAGGACCTGGACCACCACTGTTCGGGGGCCACCTCTTTGGAGGAGCCTCCTTGACCTCCTGGCCCTGTGCCCTATGCTTCCACACTGCTCCAGCGGCTTAACAAGCATAAAGAAGTATAGGATTAAAGAGGATAAGAGGAGTAGAGAAAGGATGAAGCAGTAAAAACAGACTGTGTGTGTTCCCTCACTGTTCTCTTGTTTGTTCTCCCTCCTCAGGGAGATTGGTGACCCAAAGGAGGAGGCTGGGTGGGTGGGTGGCGGCTTCGGGTGGCAGCTTGTTGGAGTTTTAATTAGTAGGAGTAATCAAAAGACGATTGTGAAGGAGGCAGGGGGAAATAAAAGCAGGATTCAGAGAGTGGGGATGTGCTGTTTGCTCAGCCAAAGCTCAAGAAGTCAGAGTAAGGCTTCAGGATTCTCTGGGGACTCACTTCAACATGTTTATTAGCAGGGAGATGATCTCAGCAA